AAAATTTTATACTATTATATAGTTTCGCATTTTATATGAAAGGTGTAAAATACAAAGTAAATAAATATAAAACTGTGATATGTGCAGAAAGTTCAATGTATTTCAGTTTTTCAATTTAGTAAAATAAAGAAGCAATAATTGTAATTAAAATTAAAACAAAAACTGAAAATAAAAACCATTCTTATTGTAGAATTCGAAAAATGTGTTATTGAGAAAGTTTATTGCAGTACTTAAAGTTCAATGGCACCCGCTGTTCGCATTTCAGTATTATAATTACATATTTTTAATGCGACTGCAGTCTGTAGTTTGTATTCCAAAGTACTTTGTTCTGCCAGTTGTGCAGAAATATTAAACGAACGTACGAGTAATTAATTTTATTATTTTATTTAAACTTTTTGATATGCGAGCAAATAATTGCGGGCTGATTTGTATTTATAAATTTAAAAGGAAATAACGTCATATTCAATACTATGAGTAATGTACGGTGTTAATTACAGAATTTTTTATGTATCTATAAGATAACATATGTAATAAAAAATAAATAAGACATGCATTGTTCCTCAATCTCCCATTCATTAAAGTAAATATGTGCATACATTTGTAGTTATTTAAATTAAAAGTGAATTATAAGTCCTTATCATGAATATGAAGTATTTTTCTACTGATATCTTATCTTGCTATCTTATAAAGGCGTTAAGTGTACACAAAACATGCTTTAGAACAAAACTCATATATGGATATAACCATTACTAATGTTTAGTTTCATTAATTTGATATGAATTAATATGGGCATTTAAAGTTAACTGACTATAATTAAATTTTTTTTGAAAAGAATTTATTTTTAATTTATTTTCAAACAGCATTTCTTATTATTATTTCCATATACATTTTATTTGATAATTTTCCATATACAAAATTGAATTTGCGGTAGTAAACACTTTGGAATGCAAATTGGCTACTTAACGTTTTGTATAATAAATTTGACGTCCATTATTTAAAACAAAAATATTAAAACAGATATATAAAAATATATACTTAAGGTATACACAAGGTATTGGAATACACCCTGTTTTTCGCCCGAATTGTACTAAAGGTAATAATTGCTTTTACTGTTAAAATTACTTTTTATTAATTTTTTTCATCGTCCGACTTTAAGTGTTTGTAAATATGGAGAAAAACGAGTATTGCTCTATGCTTGAATTTTTAATATAAAAAAATAATAAACACTTCCAAATTATAATCAATTTTCGTTTACCAATGAAGTTTGCGGGGATTGACCACTGTTATATGCAAGAGTATACGGCATAACACGCCATGTAGTGTCATGGGCTCATCAAAATTGGTTTCTTTTGGCCATCATGACAAAAATTCATGTTCTGCAGAGCGTCATAGAAATTGTAATATGTAATTTGTTTCTTAAAGATACAAATGTTGACATTTATTATTAAACAACAGTGCTTTGCCTAAGTGACAAGGCACAGGTAGCCTCGGCTCTCATGACCAAATTTGAACAGACATATTGTTTTTTTTTCTTAGTCTCCATTTTATAATTTGCATATAAAACTACAACAATTTTTCTCATGATACTCTACATAACATGGCCCTAAAGATGGTTGGATCGCTTTAAAAGAAACTTCATATCAAGAAAGTTATTGTTCAGCTTTTCCTAAACGCGAAAGCGGATATGTAGAATAACATAGCATAGCTTCTTTGTAAAAAGCACCAGAATGGTCGCTTTACATATAGTAAGTAAAACAATATGCATTACAAAATGTCTCTACAAAAAGAGTGGCTTTGAAAAAATAAACAATAGGCGAACCCAAAAGTTAACTTTCAATTCGTTGAACTTGTGTTTCCAAAATAAAGCTGTAGTTTATAAGTTCGTTCTAATTTAAAGCACGGCAAGTGCTTTGGTTGGTGTCACTAATTCAATAAAAAATAAGTGACAATAAAACCTGGAACTTGAGCATTGAAAGTTTCTGCAGCCTTGGCTTCTTGTTGACAAACACGATTAGTCATCGCTTCTAATTTGACAGGCACGAGTTCTTAGCCTGGCACTTGCAGTCCAAACAAATTATATACGGAATATAAACTAATTAAATAAAAATTCGATTATTCCAAAGACCACTGATGAAGAGTACTTGGCAATATTCGAAACAGCGTTGTCTGGTCAGCCAAACTTCAATAAAATTATAATAAATTTTTGTGTTTGTTCTTTATTTCTTTCTTTGCTATTCAAAATCCCTCTAATTTAATATTAATATATGTAGCAATATATGTTAGCAAGAACAGTGTTAAAAAAAATATATTATATAATATTACAAGCTGAACATACGTAGCTGGAACAATCAGGTGCACCTAATATGGCTTTCGGGACATGCCGGTATCTAAGGCAATGAAATGGCAGACAAACTTGCAAGAAGAGGCACAGCCTCAAGAATTATAGGCCCAGAACTATTCTGTGGTCTAGGCAAAGGAACTTTATCTATTCATGGTGCATAGGAAAATCGTCATATATTCGTATACATATATTTGAATTATTGTGCAGTACTAATATGCGGTACCTAACTTACACTATCTCTAAAAAACTAAGTTATTTATCCAATATTTATAAAATAAATAAACATTAAAAATACAGTTGTTTTGTATGGCTGCTAAATTTAACAGAACCAACTATCAATTGATTTTATCTATCTGACTTTATAAAATCATCTATGTAAATTCTCATTTGCTTAGTTTAAAACCAATTTATGTATTAACTGGCAATTCAATTCACTGAAGAGTAAATAGATTTATAGACAGATAGACAAATGAACAGATTATTGTTATTATCATAAGATAAATCGATAACAACATTGCATATATCAATACCTGCCTGAACTTGACGACCATAGTACTTATTAAAGTACCAGAGTTTCAGATTGCTTTCTCCAACTTTATGCTGGAGAGAAGGTAGAAAAGATTGTCACATTGACGGTATCCATCAAAGACGTTGAATGCTTTGGATAGATATTTTTACTTGACAACACTGTCAATCAATTTGCATATGTTACACGTCCTTTTTATCTAATTATGTGTATATAAATTATATAATATCTAACGTGTAAAAATTAAAAATTTTTTAAATATGCTAATTAATAATATGTTACACTATATACATTAACAATATTGCTTATTAGCTAACAATTGTTGCAAATTAACGAAATTTATTACAAATTTCATTACAGCACTCCAAAAATGTTTAAAATGAAGCGAACTCCAGTCCACATAAATAGACTTCTACTTTTAGGTTGCGCATATCTAATCTTTCTTTTGCCATTGACTTTAGCACGAATACCAAATTGTGAGTTCCACGATACTGTCAATATAACTGGTAGTTTACGCTACAACAACGGTTCCTATTTGCATGATGGTGTGATAATACCACCTAAACTCATCGGCGAATATGATTATGAGGTGCTCTATGACGGTCTTGAATTGACTGTGGGGAAACATGTACGCGGTTGTATCTGTAAACTAAAACCTTGCGTTAAATTGTGTTGTCGCCCAAAACAAATTAAAAAAGAAAACTTAAGAGAATGTGAAATTGATGCTAAAACAGAACTTGAACTGTCACCTTACGTGAATATAACTTTCAACAATGGTACGGAGCAGAGCATACATGTATTAGAGGAATTTTATGTTCAGCATGGAATACCCTGTTATGACGCTTACAAGTTGACACCAGATAGCGAGGAGGACGATGAATGGAAACTCTTCGAGGTAAAAAATATATAATATTTAATAAATGGTATAAAACAATTTATAATTTTAAAAAAGAATGGCACATTGATGCGTTTGTTTGACAATGCCTTAATGACAAAACGTGATTATTGCTTAACACCACATGAAGTAAACGGTGTATATTTGCTTACTCCAATGAATTGTCCAAACTATGAAGAGCAGTCAAATAATCACTTCGCTAACAATCTTGGTATATATAAATGAATTTGAAACTAATAACCTCTTAAGGCTTTACTATTGGTACTCATATATTAAAAAAAAAAATACTTATTCTTATTAATTACAGCAATGTTAATATCTATACCCTTTTTGGTGTTGACAATCTTTGTGTATGTCTTCATACCGAAATTGAGGAATTTGCATGGAAAATGCCTTATTTGCTACTTATTTTCTTTAACGGTTGGTTATAGTGTCCTGGTAACCAATAACTATTTCAGCAAACAATATAATGATTTCACTTGCAGTTTTGTAGGTGAGAAAATCAATTATCATTGCTTAATATAAAAGCTAATACAAATATATTCTATATATAAATAAACTTTTAATATAATTACAATATTAATTAACAGGATTCATGGCTTATTTCTTTTTTATCGCGGCATTTTTATGGTTAAGTGTGATAAGTTTTGATCTCTGGCATAATTTCCGAGGCACCAGTTGCAATGTTAACCGTTATATGCAAAACAAACGTTTTGTTATTTATTCTCTCTATGCATGGGGAATTGCTGGGATTCTCACTTTCGCAACCATACAGGGTCAACTATCAAGTATCGATAATCATATTAAACCCGGAATTGGCGACGAATATTGTTGGCTTAAAAGTAAGTAAAATTAAGTAAATTATTATATATGTTACATATATCTTTTTTTTTTGTATTTATAGCCGATGATTGGTCAGCTATGATATATTTCTATGGGCCGATAATGTTACTAATTTTATTTAATGTGATTATGTTTATACTGACTGCTACAAAAATTTATCAAGTTAAAAGGGACTTGGAGCGTATTGTGGCTCGTGAAAATGATCAGAGGTGTTTGCGGTCAGAGAAAGAAAAGTATGTTCCTTAAGGAAATTAATTTAAAGTGGACATTAATTATATTAAGTCAGGGTGATTTTAAAAAATGTAGAAATATTTGAAACTGCAGTAAGAAATCAAATGAAAATTATTTACACTTTTGTTGAGTGGTAAAAGTGGTGCTATACATTTTAGTACATACATATGGTCACATAGTCAGTTAAATAAAGTTTTTATTTAACTGAATGTAATTTTGGTCGATTTTCTGACTGTTGCGTTTAAGACATTAAATCAAATTAAAAGTTTAAAATTTTTTTTTGTATTAGCTAGTAATTTAAAAACTGATAACATATTATGATTTGTCCAAAATTCGAATGGTTTTTGGTGTCATAATGGAGTTCACTGATTTTTATTATACTATTAGAATCACAGCATAAGTTTACTGACATTTTCCCTACATTTTAATAACGCATAGTAATGTTATTAATGTTAAGAGATGTTCTGATGGTTATTGGTGACTTTAATGCCAAGATAGGCTAAGGTACGGACGATGCAATTGTTGGCAAATTTGACCTAGGCGAAAGAAATGAAAGAGGTGATCGTTTACTGGATTCTGCAGAAGTAATATGTAAGTTAATTATTTCCAATACATTCTTTAAACTGCCAAAACGTAGACTTTATACCTGGAAGTCACCAGCCGATACATCAAACAGGGTCATCCGTAACCAAATCGACTTTATAACAATAAGTGAAAGATATAAGAACTCAATAAAATTCGCAAAAACCTTCCTCGGTGCGGATGTTCCATCTGATCACAACTTGCAAGCTGTTAAAATCAACATTAAATTCAAAGCGACAAGCTCAGCTCAACCGAGGAGTAAACTCAATGTACAAAAATTAAAAAGCCCAGATTTGAGGATGCGAGTTGAATATGAAATTGAAATGAGGTTATTAAGTTTACAACCCGATTGAAGAAATATCTATGACAAATAAAAACACAATAATGGAAGTAGCAAATAATGAAGTGGGCATGGTCAGATCTAGAAGGAAAGAAATTTGAATGAGAGATGAAATCCTGGCATTAATGGACGAAAGAAGTCAGTATAAAAATAAAGATACTCGCAAATATAAGTATATACGTATTCTTATTAGAAAAGCACATATAACCTTGGATGAAGTTCAAAAAGCAATTGATGGTGCAAAAATAGGAAAAATAGTAGGTTTTGACCAAATATCAACAGAATTGGTGAAGTTATTCAAAGATAATGGCGTACATATTTAACAAGATTTTTTGATAAAATTTATAATACTGGCCAGATACCAAATTATTGGATTTAAGAACGTTGTCGTGACTTTAACAGAGATGTCTTTTTATGTTATTGATTTCGAAAAATTTTGAAATTTTGAAGCACTGCTGATTAAATGAAAAGGATATGCGAATAATAGCAAACTTATACTGGACACAGTACGCAAATGTTTCAATTGATAATATCTTCACGCAAGAAGTAAAAATAAAGCGCGGGGTTCGCCAAAGGTGCATTCTGTCACCATTACTGTTCAATATATACTCGATATATATACTACAATATTTGTGAAATGTATATTCTAGTCAATAATAACTAACTTGATTTTAAATGTATTTTAAATATTGGAAATGTTTTTACGTTTATGCTTCCTACAGATTAATTCATACTATTTTTCTAAGTTATTCATCTCTTAAAAGATGAAAAGCAAAAGTCAGTCCGCGATTATTCTAATTCAAATGAGAAACTTAATTTTAAAATATTACGCAAATCAAAGTACTGATAGTTTAATCTATTCTTTGTTACATTATTTTTTAGAAATATTTTTAAATCATTGAGATAGTGTTTTTTAAATAATATTTAAAATATCCAAAACAAACCACTTGAAGTATTTTTTTTTTAAACTAATCTAATAGAACTTGGACTTTATTGTTTTTATAATAGGTCTCCCATGAAGCCTTAAATTTTAACCCTTTGCTGCGAGTATCAATTTGAGATTTTATATGTTAGCCATCTAAATTTATTATGTCAGAGAGTAACATTTAAATATGAGAAGTGTTTAAATTGTATTTTTTTTTAATATGAAAATATATGCTAGGCAACTTTTTATCTGTAATATATAATTTAATTACTTAAGTAAATATTCTTGTTTCGTTAAGAATATATGTATTTAAATATAAAACAGTAAATTAATTTTACAACATAAGGTTTCGAATGCAAGTTTTCTTCACTACATAAACTGTACATGTTCAAAATTTAAATATTATTCAAATTAAAATATTAGACTTTAATCTTTTCTCAATTTTTGTTATTACATATTTACTATTGTACCATTTACATATTTATTAAAATGGTCTTGTTTTTTTAAAACATAAATTTTTTTCAGTTTTGGTTTATTCCTACGTTTATTTATTGTGATGGGAATTACTTGGATGCTGGAAGTTATGTCGTATTTGGTAGGCTCTGACAACACTTGGTCCATATTTTTTTATGTACCGGACTTTTGCAATGCGGCGCAGGGAATTATAATATTTGTACTTTTTGTACTTAAGAAAAAAGTGAAAAAACTTATTAAAAAGAGGTAAGTCATTTAATTACAATTTTATTTAATTTGATAAAAATATTAATAAATTGTAATTGGAAAGAATTCTACATAATGAAAAAAGTACTTACGCGAGTAATTCGAGTTCTACTCAATCAGAGTGTGCGCCGGAAGAAATATCTTTACAAAATTTTGCAAAAGATGGAAAAAATTCTAATTTAGGTAAAAATTTTGAAGAAAACACAAAAACACACAACCAAATCGTTTGTAACTCTTAATTGGTGTTGGTCTAATTAATTGGCATAACCTTATTGGTGCTTAATATACTTGTTTCTCGGGTTTAATATTTCATTAAATTTTCCACTGAAATTTAATGATACAAAATTTGAATATCTTAAAAGCTAATATTATGTATAGAAATCTAAAAACTAAAACTATAGCTCGTTTTGACGATTATATTATCTATTCGTTGTTTGTATATACTTTTTAAAGCATGGGTTTTCAATCACTAAAACACAAAATAATATCTTTGGCTTGCTACTTAATAAGAATAATTACTAAAGTTTTATATACATGCACGCTGGTTTACATATGTTTATAAAAATTCAATAAAAAAGTTATTGTTTGTTTAACAAAAAACAAAAAATTAAATAATATTAAAATAATTTTATTTAATGCATATATTTCAGAATAAATGCAGCCGAAGAAGCAAATCCTTTTTTGACAAACACCAAACGTATAAATTCGACAAGAAGCACCTCAAAGTCGCAAACAAGTGCCATATCACTCATCAGAGTTAATTCCAATCGTTAGTTGCTATATGTACGCTTTCTTCAGTTGTAAACATAAAGCCCAAAATTCATTATCCTGTATTGCGACTATTTAACTCGACATTAATTGTAAACTTCATTAAGCTTTTAAAAGTTATAACGCCCGTCTCGTGTGAAGACCAAGTTTGGACCCAAAGTATGCACTTAGCGCATAAAGAAATAAAAATTAGTTTGTATTTTAAATATATATGTTTCATAGTATTATATGTAGTTTAATTTATTTTTAATACTCTTGAAGTATTATATTTTATATTTTGTAACTAAAACTCTAAATATATGTTTGTTGTTAAGATTTCCTTAGTGTTTGTATCGGCATGCATTTTGTAAATGTATTATATTGTAAATTGTAAGAATCTCATCAATATTTTTCATTCATAATTTTTTTAAAAGAAATTGTACTGCTTTGAACAAAATTAATTTATTATTATGTGTATTGTAATATAAACCAAATAAAACTTAATTGTAATAGACAAAGTTTATATATAATGAATAACAAAAGCATTAACCAGAAACCGAATAAGATCACCAAATATATGAGGGTGGTTTGATAAGTCAGTGAGTTTATGAATTTCCGCGCTGGTTCTCCAAAGGCAACAATGCTGCCGTGAGCTGTAATCTACCAGTGGGCAACTTTTGATCAAGCTACGTCGTTCAGTTGGTGTTTGATAGCCGTTCAAAGCAGACCACCTCGTGAATTTTTACGAAAAAAAAAAAGTGAATTTCGTGTGCTGATTAAACATTCGTGGCCAAAATCCAAGAATTGGAAAACGAACTGCTACCGCATCCAGCATATTCTCCAGATTTAGCCCCCTGCGACTATTTTTTGTTTTCAAACCTAAAGCAATGTCTGGGCGGTAACAGATTTGAGTCGAATGAAGAAGTCATTACTGAAACAAACGCGTATTTTGAGAGCTTTGAGAAAACCTATTATTTGGAGAGAATAAGAAAATTAGAAAAATGCTGGACTAAATGTATTTAGCTAAAAGATGCTAATGTAGAAAAATAAAATGTTTATTTGGCGAAAAAATAAACGCCCTCGTATATATAATAGATATGGGTGTATTTATCGGAACTTGAAAAAGGGAATTGTATATTTCCTTTTTTAGTATTCATATTCAGTATTCATATTACAGAATTAAACATTTTTATATAATAAATCGTTTGATTTAGTTTGAAACTATTCATTAGACACTAGACATAACGTTCATTTTTAGACAATAAAATGATAATATAAATACATAGTATAGGAGATAATTATTTAAAATAACATTTTTATTTTCTAGAACACTTTATGTACTTTCTCTATGTTTTAATTTAATTTTCTGTTGTATATCTTATTTATATATTTGTATATGTATTTATAGTCCATAAATCAATTTTTAAATTAATTTTTGAACACATATTTAACACATTTATATAGTATGCGTATCTATGAATAGTGCTAAGATATAGTATACATTGAGATGGATAATCACAATCTAAAAGAGGTGCAGTGATATAGAGCCGCAACGGGACATATTTCCAGTAAATATATTTTATAATTACCATTTTTTGCTGCTTCTGTGTTAGTCGTTTATCGAACTAGTTACTCAAAATTGCGAATAAAGGGTATAAAGGCTAAGTATATTAAAATGGTGTGATTTTGTTAAAAGTATCTCAATCATTTAGTGATTTTAATAATGATAATAGTGCTATAAAAAGTTGATGAACAAACGTAACATATAATGGTAATAAATGATATTTTTAAAATACGATACTCAAGGTACTAAAGCCTTAAAGTGTATGCAGTTGAAGAATATGACCTTGTTTCATTCAAAAGCAAGGCTTCGTTTCTGATCGAATCAAAATTGATGACAGTTTTCTCAACGAATGTGTTACTTCATGGTCTAGTAATGCTTCATTCCAACACGCTAAGAAACAGGTGCTGACACTGAGAGTAGTTAATGATACAGCAGAAAGAGCGGTTAAGTTAATGCAAGACTTTCAAGGCAAAATCACTGTTGAAGACGGACAAAAGAAATTTTTACTCGCTGCGTACAAGAACACAGATTTGTTTATCCTGACTAAAACAAACAAACTCTGAAAAGAAAATTAAATAGTTACCATCATTTTAATAATAAATACTTAATAAATATAAGATACAGGTAAAATAGTATTTTATTTACTGAATAAACATGAAGGTCTAAAATGTCTTCTATAGTTTCTATACAAACTTTCTGTTAAAAGTCGGCACGAGTTATCGTTATCCGATACTCATAATATTTATTATTTCAGTTACTAGGATCAAAAAGAAAAAAAATAAGTGGTATGCGTATTTCAAATCGAATAAAAATTTTCGCTCTTATACCCTGGGACACCCTAATATATATATATGTATGTATATATAAATACATATATATATTAATTTAAAATTTCAGAATTATATTTACAAATTTTGAAAAACCAAATAATTGTATTGTTTTTAATTTCAAGTTTTTGTTTTTGATGTTGCAAATGAGGAATAATATTGTGTTAATACATGAATCTCAATGGGTGGAGTCCCAAATTGAAATATCAGATTTTCGGTGCACAAAAATGGGTAGGATTTATTGATTGGAAATACTATGTAAGCGTAAGATATAGCGAATGACAAAAGTGCTCCAAAGTACATATCTTTGGGTCATTTCAAGAAAATGCTATGTACAGGAGCACATCTTTAATAGAAGATGACAGAATATTGTGATTTTGGAATAATTGGAGAAAACTATTAAGTAGAATATCGTTTACAAAAATCGCTTACAATTCTTGTATAAAAAAAACCGAAAATCATTTGAAAACTTCTCTGCAAATAATTTTTTTGAACACCCCGACATAATTTGATGGCTTTAATGTAGTTGGAGCATTGCTTGAAAGAGAATTCTAAAGTATGAGCACAATTTATCGAGAGAAAAACAACAACAAAAAATTTAAAATCTTTACTACATATATGCGTTGTAAAACTTTTCCAATATATTTTATATAAAAATATGGTTTCAATAGCATAGTGCCATAAGTCATAAATCACACAATACGTCTTGTTTTAACAATTTTTCGAATATGCAATTACAAATTTGTTGATATAAACTGACCACCACGACCAGGTGGTTTGTCACCACTGAAGTTGTTTTTAGTACAGTTACGCAAAGGATCTTATTTATCCTCGAATTCTTTGCACTTTGTAAACAAGCACACGTTAAGTTGCTAGCTACGTATCGATAAGTTATAGAAATTTAAAATTAATTAAATTTTTGGCAGTGTTTGCAGTGTATTATCTATGGATAATATTGTTAAGGATCTATCCCATTAAAGTTTAAACCCTACCTGAATTTGGCACTGGTGCTATAGGATATCTCATTGAGAACGTCTTTGTGTATCACATCTAACGGCTAAGTTTGAATAATATATTGAATATTAACTTTGATCGAAATCTCAATCGCAAGTATATATTATTTATCTACGTTTACTTTTGGAAACACAAATGGATAACCCAGTATAATTCATTCACATAAATTTATGTATTTAATTGTTTTATTCATTATATGTAAATATTGTTACATCTTTTATACCATACTGACACACGAGTATGGGACTGGGAATATATAATTTAATGCTACTTTATTTACTTTTCTAAATAAAAGTAAATAATATGAGTTAGAAACAGAATTACAATAATTTTGGATATAAATGGAAATTCCACTTCTTACAGATTTTAGTATTTATTTATTTATTAGTTTGTTTATTCAATTGTTAGATTCTGTAATTTTGGATAACTTTTCAGTCCCGAACTCAGAAAAAATAAACTATAAAAGGTAAGACTAAAATTGAAATATTTCAGTTTAAACATTGCCAATTCAGCAAGTCAGGAATATGTCTTATAATAATATTTTACACGTAGCGCTTTTGTTTCTTACTTGTCTCGAAGCTGTACGTGGACAAGCCAGAATAGTTGGTGGTGGAACAATACCAATAGCTCAAAATCCTTTTGTTGTAAATATACGTGACAATGGAGGAAAGTTGGTGTGTGGAGGATCTTTGGTTGATCCACGTTTTGTTGTCTCCGCTGCTAGCTGCATTAAGCCATATAAAGCTAATCAACTGACAGTACAAGGTGGTGCTCAAATGTTCTCAAATCCCGGTGTCAGGCGTAAGATCGACCGCATCATATATCCTGCAAACTATGACAACGTAACCTTGGACTATGATGTTGTTGTACTGAGATTGGGAAATGAATTAACTGGTACAAATATCGGCACTATAAATTTACGTACAACGGGAGTTCCCGTTGGTGCAAATTTAAAAGTCTTGGGATGGGGAAGATTAAGTGAAAATGGTGAAAATTCCAATGCTCTACAATCTGTGCTTGTTGCCGCGATTTCAAAGGAGGATTGCTTGCAATCATATGAGTTAACGGCAACAATGTTCTGTGCTAAAGGACCAAATGCTGATGCTTGTGAAGGTGATGGTGGTGGTCCAGCTGTATTGAATAATGAGCTTGCTGGTATTGTGTCATGGGGATTCGGTTGCGCTCGTCCTAATTATCCTGGTGTATACACAAGTGTTGCTAAGGTTGCTCCTTTTATTAATCAAGCTATAAGCAATAATTCATAAAATAATTTTATTAACTAATACTGCATTATTATATAATGTTAATATTTCCTCCGTTTGTAGTTTTTAATTAAATGACGAGAATTTTTATAAATAAAGTTATTAAAATATACAAAATAATGTTTTTTATTAATTTAAGCGTTGAATGTATATTATGATTCCTCTTTAAGTATTAGAAAATAAGTAGATTGTTCGTTTCAAGAAGTGAGTAAAATCTTAATGAAGCGTGATATGTATTTTTTTTATTGATTTGCTGGCTATCAAAAAAATATCTAAATACTGTCAATCAGAAAGTTTTAATATTAGAGAAGCTAAACAGTTTCTCCCGAAATTGTTTAAATGTAGTTTACTGAATGTAGTTTACTTAATACATTTGTTGCTGTTTGTAACATAATATAAGCAGATATAGATTTTCTTAGAATAGAACTGATCTTTAGAAGATTAATTATTATTATAAAGAATATAAATAAAATAGAACTGAAGTTGAAAAGATATAACAAAAATATTTTAGTATTGTACTTTGTTCTGATGGAAAAGTTTTGTTGCCTACGGAATTAGATTGATAACTTTGAGAACAAGTAATTCACTTAAATAATAACAACTTCTTACTTCATAGCAACTATTAACAAATTATAACAGTGTTTTAATGATAGCAGCTATATTTGAGATATATATTGTATGATAGCGATTAACAACTGTTTTTGATACAACTACGCAAGCAATAGAATAAAGCTGCTTTCTACCACAAATTACAAATGATAAAACTTTCTTTTAAAAATTTTTATGCCAAAACACCAAAAAATGTTTGAACAGTTTATCTTTTAAAAATCTTTAATTTTTATTG